AGATCTTAACATAAAATATTGAGTTATTTTCAGCACACACATACACACAAAAAGAGGTGAATTTGCAGTAGCCTGTCTGGGACTTCTTGATATATGTTTGCATTTATAGACTGTAAAGTCCACTTATAAAAGGACATATTTTGTTTTTTCCTGGATGGATCCACCTTGCCTTCCCATTCTGTGGACGTAGTTTCCCTTCTTTCCATGGGTTCCTTGTCTTCCCTGTGCGCCGGCTCCATCTCCTGCCCCCATCCTCTTACTCCTCTGGAAGTCATTTCGGGGTTTATTACAGCAATCTAATATGCCATCTGAACTCCAGTTTGTTTTCATTGCTGTTTGCATTGTCCACCCATGCACAGACATTATTCTTAATTTGGGGGGAGGGGTCGTCATCCATCATTTGTTCTAATGATGTTTTCCCTAGCAAACAAGCTTTGCAGAAGACTAAATTATAGTTGTGGCTGGCCCCACTGAGCAAAGTATATATTCATATGGGGTAGGGGATTAGATTTTTATGAAATATGAGGATTGTGTTTTGACAGTCCTGATCATTTCTTATAACTGCACTCGGGGCCAGTTCCAGGTCTCAGGAGGATGGCTGGACAGAGACTGCCCAGGATCTCTCCTCCTCCTCTGCCTATCACTCTGCCCCCTGCTCATAACTTTCTTCTCTCTTTCTAGACATGCCAGCCCCCAGTTGGGACCTGGGGATCCCCTGGAATTACACCTTATTTCCAGGCTACAGAGATCAGTTCCCCTGGAGAAAATGAATGCTTTGGGGGATGGACTCTATGGCGTTGTATCTCACTGAGGTCCCTGTCCACCCCACAGGGAAACTCTCCAGGAGTTTCCAGACCTGGAGCTGGAAACCCTAACCCCCATCCCCCATTGGTGGCCAGAAGTCCTAGCAACCCTATTTCACCCATCTACACGCCTCCCCCTACACCTGTGTGTCCTTCCCCTGTGAAGTGTATTGGGTTAGAGGCATGTATAAACCACTGAGATGGATGTCGTGATCAGCATGGTTTACTAGTACACAACAAAGGCAACCTACTACTGGCCGGCTGGCCAACTATATACACACCTGGGGACACTCCCCTAGGTCCCGTTGGTGGGTTTAAATCTCCCGCCACGGTCCTATTGGTTCCCAAGTGGAGAGACTAGGAGCCTAGTCCCCATTGTTCCTACAGAGTCAAGCTCGGGGGTATTCGCTGGCCCCTGGTGGCGGTCAGTAGACATAACACCCTGCCTGCTTATGAGCCCTCCCACTGCCCATGCTCACAGCTGCCTGCAGGGACTTTCCCCTGTGGCACCGGGCAGTGCGTGCAGAAAGCAGAGGGCTCTGCCAGAAGAAGAAGAGGAGAGATTGGATTTATACCCCACTCTTCACTACCCAAAGGTGTCTCAGAGCGGCTT